TATTATATAATAGATAATATATATATATATATATATATATATATAATTTCATATAAGCAAGTTATATTTAGAGATTCAATTTGCCAAGAGAAAATATGTTGGGTGGCCTTAAATGTTGATATCGTACGTTGTAGAATGTGTTTTTGAACTAATCAAATTGGTTGCTACGTGCCTCCAAAATAGCTAGACCTGCCTTTGCCAAAAACTAACCACCAAGTCTCTTCTTCAGTGTGAATAGAATGTTTTTTGAATCATTCTAATCGGATACTCTATTATTCTCAAAAACTTAATTGCCATCTTGTACATCTTTTGCTTGTACCTCCGAAAACGGCTGGAACCTGTCTTTGCTAAAAACTAACCACAAAGTTTCCTCTTCAGTGCGAAACGAATGTTCTTTGAATCATTCTAATTGGATGTTCAGTTCTTTTAAATTTATCATTTTAACACTGCATTGTCATCTTTTGCACTTTTTTGCACTTTTTGCTCTGCATCTCCAAAAGAGCAGGACCTGCCTTTACCAAAAACTAATTGCACATCTTCTCATCAATATAAATCGATAATTTTTTTAATCATTCTGAGCGGATTTCTATTCTCTCAAAAACTTAACTGTTTTTTACATATTTTGCTCTGTACCTCCGAAACGGCTGGACTACCTTTAAAAAACAAATCTACATGTCTTGACGTCGATACAAACCGACTGTTTTTTGAATCATTCTAATCGAATACTTCATTCTCTCAAAAACTTAATTGAAATTTTTACATCTTTTGCTATGCCTCCGAAACGGCAGGACCTGCTTTTATAAAAACAAGTTAGCGACTGTTTTTTGAATGATTCTAATCGGATTCTCAGTTCCCTTAAAAACTGAATTTCAATTTCAATCTTTTGCATCTTTTGTTCTGTTCCTCCGAAACGACAGGACCTGCTTTACTTGAAAGCAAGTCAGCACGTTTTGATGTCGATACAAACCGACTGTTTATTGAATCATTCTAATCGGATGCTCCGTTTTCACAAAAACTGAATAGTAATCTTTTGTTCTATACCTCCTGAACGACTGGACCTGCCGTTCCTAAAAATAAGAATGCACGTCTTCGACTGGAATGTAAAAATTTGAGATGGAATATAAATTTTGAAATACACACAATGCAATTCGTGGAATAAAATTTTATTGTGGAATACGAAATGTAAAATTTAGATGTGAAATGTAATGCCATATTTATATTATGGTATTTTAAAACGCAATCGTTTGATTTGTATAATATGAATTAAGAAAATTTGAAATAAAAAAGTTCAGTTTTGAGAATTTTATTATTGAGAATTAGTACAAATGAAACACAAAAACTATGAAATAACGTAACTTAAAATATAATTAAAAAAATGTGAACTACTTGCATAAAAATTTCATATGTCAAAAATATTTTAGTTTTTCCCATACAATATTTAATATCAGTACAATTTACCATTACAACTTTCGTCTGAATGTTACAACTAATTACTTCTTCGAGAAATTGCTCATTACTTGTTCAATTTGAGAGGTTCTTGGTAGATGTAGGTGGTGGTGGGTGGTATATGAACGTAATTAAAACATACCACTCGAATACCATTCATATACCTATACGATGATGGAAACTACATAGCAAATACTGAACAACCGGGTCTCAACTTTAGAGTCTTGCCTGATGAGAGCAAAGTTTTAATTTATACATCGAGCTGAGTTGACACGGTGGAGGAAGTAGATTTATATATAATATGATATATATATATATATATATATATATATATATCGATCTATTCACATAAAATCCATAAACCCTTCACTCCACCGTTTGCTCCACCGTATAACAAATTCCATTTCCTAAAACATTCCGTAAACGAATTTTCATAGACGCCTCTCGTGCGTCACAAGTTAATAAATATTAAAATACATTTTAAATTGGAAAATCTCGTAAAATCGTTTCTCCACAACACATTTTCACTATATAAAAGTATAGGAAATCATATTTTTGATGTCGCCATTATACTTTACTCCTTTACTCGTACTCCTCTACTCCTCCACCGTTCTTCGAAGCAAGAAACGTAACGTTAAAGAGGGCGACGACAGCGCCACCGGCGGCCGTAATATCAGTTGTCAATAAAAAATTTAATATCGTATTGTGTGAACCATGTGCGTGTGAGATAAATTTATAAAAAAGTTGATGGGAAAACGATATTTACACATGTGGAGAGGAATAAAATGTCTGGTTATTAACTTTCTGAAGTGGATATTTATGGGTTTATTTGCGGTGGAGTGTTGTGAAGTTTGTGTGTGGGTTGACTAATTATTGAACACTGTATTTGATATTTATTGTTAGAATGTTTAGAAACTTGATAGGTTTTGTGAAGTTCGGTAGAAAATTTGTGCGATTTGTGCACCAGAATTTCTGCGAGACTCAGTAAAAAATCGAGACTTTGTAGAATTTTTGTGAGAATTCTTAGATTTTTACGAGGAATCTTAAATTTTTGTGAGGCTTTGTAAATTTTTGTAAAGTTTTGTAAGTTTTTGTGAGACTCTAGATTTTTGTGGTACTTTCTAAATTTTAAAATTCTTTTGGAACTTTCTACATTTTTAAATTCTTGTGGGACTTAGAAAGAATTAGAAAATTTGTGAGGCTCGAAATAATTTTTGGAGACCTAAAGAATTTTTAGGAGGCCTGAAACAATTTTTAGGAGGCCCGAAGGAATGTTTTCGAGGCCCGAAGGAATGTTTTCGAGGCCCGAAGAAATGTTTCGGAGGCCCGAAGGAATGTTTTCGAGATGCAAAGAATTTTTTTTGAGACTCTGTAAAATATTTGCTAGCCTTCTTGAATTTTTGTGAGGCTTCTTGAATTTTTGTGATGTTTTGTAAATTTTTGGTGAGGCTTTGTAAATTTTTGAAAAACTTTCTATATTTTTGTGAGGCTTCTTAAATTTTCATGAAACTCGATTTTTTTTGTAAATATATTTGTGAAACTTTTTAGACTTTTGTGAAAGTTCGTAGATTTTTGTGCGAGTTTGTAGATTTTTGTAAAACTTCTCAAATTTTTGTGAGGTTTTTCCAGTTTATGTGAGACTTATTAGATTTTTATAAGACTTGTTAGATTTGTTAGTGAGGATTCATAGATTTTTGTGAGGATTCTTAGATTTCTGTAAGGTTTTGTAATTTTTGAGACTGCAAATTTTAATTTTTGTGAGGTTTCTTAACTTTTTGTGAGATTCGATTTTTTTTATTGTAATTATATATTTGTGAGACTTTCTAGATTTTTGTGAAACTTATTAACTTGTTGTGAGGCATTTTAAATTTTTGTAAGGCTTTGTAAATGATTGTGAAGCTTTGCAAAAGACATAGAGACATATTAAATTTTTGAGACATCTTAAATTTTTGTGAAGTTTTTTAAATTTTAAGGGAATCATTTTTTTTTTTTTTGAAAATAAATATTTGTGATACTTTCTAGATTTTTGTAAGACTTCTTAAATTTATGCTATTTTTGGATTGTTCCTAGAGATTTTATGAATTTTATGAGACTCGTTTTTTTTTTCAAATATATATTTGTGAGAGGCTTTGTAGATTTTTATGAGGCTTTGTAGATTTTTGTGAGGTTTTGTAAATTTTTGTGAGGCTTTGTAAATTTTGTGAGACTTTGTAAATTTTTGTGAGACTTTCTACATTTTTAAATTCTTGTGAGCGTTGGTACTATAAATTCTAATAAGGCTTTGTATTCGCATAAGTATTTGTAAATTTGTTTGAGGCTTTGAAAATTTGTTCGAGGCTTTGAAAATTTGTTCGAGGCTTTGAAATTTTTTGTGAGGTTTTCTAGATTTTTGTGAGGATTATTAAATTTTGGTGAGGCTTCAACATTTCTGTGAGGTATTTAGATTTTTTGTCAGTTTTTTTTATTAATTTTTGTGAGGTTTTTTAAATGTTTTGTGAGGTTTTTTAATTTTTTTGTGAAGCTTTGTCAAGCTTTTTAAATTTTTGTCAGGACTTGTACATTTTCGTGAGACTTCTTAAATTTTTGTGATACTTCTTAATTTTTGTGAGACTTTTGAAAATTTTGTGATGGATTTGAAACTTTTGTGATACTTTTGAAATATTTGTGATGCTTTTGAAATTTTGTGATGCTTTTTAATTTTTGTGAAACTTTTAAAATTCATGTTAGACTATTTAAATTCTTATTAGACTTTCTAGACTTTTATGAGACTTTCTAGACTTTTATGAGATTTTCTGAATTTTGTAAAAACTGTAAATTTTTGTGAGACTTTTTAAATTTTTGTGAGACAGATTTTTGTGAGACATTTAACAACAGACACAAAAGTAATAAATTTGACAATATACAAATTTTAAATTAAAATTTTATAAATTTTACCAATTAAGATTATTAAAAAAAAGGTTACAGATGATGTAGAATTTCGCTTAAAAAATTATATATATATACAGAAAATTCATTTAAATTAAAAAATAAACTTACTATGTATATTTTTACTTACTTTGCCGAAATTACTCAGGCCTCCAATATGTGGGACACGTCCTGGCTCATCAGCTAAACAGCAATCAGCCCCTAAAATTAAAAAAAAAAAAATAATATAACTCAGTAAAATCTAAATAATTTGTAAAACATCATCAATGAAAGAAGTTCAATAAAAACAACTTACATGAAAAAAAATGCAAAAATCATAAAAAAAAATCCTGAAAAATTATCACACTTTTTCTAATTGTATTTTTTCGATTTTTTTTTCCAATATTTATTTTTCTAATTTGAGGGGGTGGGGTTATTTTTTTCTAAGGTAAATTTTATAATTTAAATTTTCAGAGGGATAAGTTTGGATAATTTTAAGTTTTTATAATTTTAAATTTTTTATAATTTTAATTTCTTATAATTTAAATTTTGTCTAATTTAAATTTCTTTTCATTTTAATTTTGTAAAATAAAATTCAAAATTCATAAATAAAATAAATAACGATTAAAATTAGAAAAAAAAACACTTACCATGGAGTGTTGCACGTATGTGTCAACGTCAAATATCGAACTCCAAGATCATAAAATGATCTCAAGACTCCCAAACTATTTCCAATGGAATGACCACCTTCCACTCCAATTAAAGAACCAAGAAACCCCAAACGATGGGCTTCTTCAATACCTAAAAACAAAAAAAAAACTTTAAATAAATCTATAACAATTGTAACGTAAAATGGAGATTACTCCACCGCATCTCAATCTGTATATCAATTTCAAATAACAACAAACAAACAAATATTTTTACTATCGACATGTAAAACGGTGGAGACTGCTCCACCTTCTATTACCTTTTTCCCTAAATGATAATTAATTGCTCTCGTTTTTCGACCCGGAGATTTTTATGAAAAAAAGGTAAAAGATATCTCAAGGACGTCTCAACCGATTCTTTTGATGATGACACAGAAATTGCGATCGTCCTTTTTTTCGTTTCGTTCACGCCTCAAAAGATTTTTCATTCAAAAGGATAATTTGAAAAAAAAAGGGAAAATATGAAAAGGACACTCAGTTGCGGTACGCGGATTCTTTGAAAGGATGTTTTAATAAACTCTTGATGTTTTCTTACGAATGACAAATATGTTGAAAATTTTGGGTAATGGAAAGGTAGAGATAAATATATAAAAATATAATATATATATATATATATATATATATATATATTAATTAAGGACATGTACTTTACGAGAGAGATCAAAGCAAGGATAAAAAGCAGCAAGGGCTTTTTTATGAAAAACGACACAACTAACGAGCAAACTGAGTTTTATTTTTCTGGGTCAACAAATTTAGTAGTTATGAAGATTTTTGTAAATGTTGTGAGACGTGGTAGATTTTAGTAGAAATTTAAGATATTTTGTAAATATTTAGGATACTTTGTATATTTTTGAAAAAAGTTTATAGATTTTTGTGAGACTTTGTTGAATTTTGTGAGACTTTTTTAAATTTTATGAGAGTTTTTAAATTTATGAGACTTTTTTAAATTTTAAGAGACTTCTAAAATTTTATGAGACTTTTTTAAATTTTATGAGACTTTTTTAAATTTTATGAGACTTTTTAAATTTTATGAGACTTTTTACATTTTATGAGACTTTGGTGAATTTTGTGAGGTTTTGCAGTGTTTTGTGAGGCATTTAAGATTTTTGTGAGGCTTTGTTGAATTGTGTGAGTCTTGATCGTTTTTTTTGTGAGATTTGTAGATTTTAGTAAAATACTTTAGTTTTTTGCAAGATATTTTTAATTTGTGTAAAATGTAGAATTTTGTAAGACGTTGCAATTTTGTAAAAGCCTTAATAGATTTTTGTGAGTCTTGTTAGATTTTTTTTGTGAGACGTTATAGATTTTTGTGAGACGTTATAGATTTTTGTAAAACCTTGTTAATGACTGTAAGACTATGTAGATTACTGTGAGACGTTATAGACTTTTGTGAGATTTGTTAGTTTCCTTTGTGAGGCTTTATAGTTTTTTATGAGGTTTGATAGTTTTTAGTGAGATCTTTTAGTTTTCTGTATTTTGTGAGATTTGGTAGATTTTGGTGAGATTTGCTAAAATTATTTGTCAAACTTGCTAGAATTTCTTGAGTGAGTCTTGAACAAATTTTGTGAGAATTTGTATATTGTTGTGAAACACTGTAGTTTTTTGTAAGATATTTTTAATTTTGTAAGATGTAAAATTTTGTAAAACGGTTGCAATTTTGTAAAAACTTTAGTAGATTTTTGTAAGACTTTGTGGTTTACTATGAGACGATGTAGATTTTTGTGAGACTATGTGATTTACTGTAAGACGTTATAGATTTTTGTGAGAATATGTAAATTATTGTGAGACGTTGTAAATTTTTGTGAGATTTAGTACTTGTTTTTTGTGAGGCGTAAAAAATGTTTGTGGGACATGGTAGAATTTTGTGAGATTTACTTGATTTTTATGAGACTTTGTTAATTTTTATGAGACCTTGTAAATTACTGTAATATTTTGTGGTTGACTGTGAGACGTTGTAGATTTTTGTAAAATTTGGTAGATTCTTTTGTGAGACTTCATAGTTTCTTATGATTTTTAAGAGAATTTAGTGAGAATTTTTAGTCTTTTGTATTTTTGTAAGACTTGGTACACTTTTGTGAGAAACTATACTTTTAAGTGAGACATTTTTAATTTTGTAAGATCCATCATTTTCTAAAACGTTGCAATATAGTAAAAACCTTAGTAGATTTTTGTAAGTCTTGGTAGTTTTTTTGTGTGAGACGTTGTAAATTTTTGTGAGATATAATAAATTATTTTAAGACCTTGTGGTTTACTGTGAGATGTTGTAGACTTTTGTAAGATTTTTCAGAGACTTTGTAGATTTATAAGAGGCTTTGTAGATTTTTAAGGGGCTTTGTAGATTTTAAGCGGCTTTGTAGATTTACAAAAGACTTAGTAGATTTTTGTGAGACTTGGTAGATTTTTTAAAAGTCTTTGTAGATTTCAAAATATTGTCTATATTTTTGTGAGACTTTCTAAAAATTAGTGAGGCTTTTTAGAATTTCCTTAGACGTAAATGATTTGCGAGGATTGGTGGAATTTTGTGAGGCTGGGTTGGGTTTTGTGAGGTCTTAAAAAAATTATATAGCCTTGAATATTTTTAAAAAGTCTTACAGATAGTTATGAAGCCTTGCAGATATTTGAGATCCCAAAAATCTACAAGGCCTTTCAAAAATCTGCAAGGCCTTCCAAAAATCTGCAAAGGTCTCCCAAAAATAACCTGCAAGTTCTCACAAAAATCTCAAGGCCTCACAGAAATCTGCAAAGCTTTCCAAAAATCTGTGAACCTCTCCCACAAACCTGCAAGGCCTCCCATAAATATGCAAAGCTTTATAAATGTCTACAAGACCTCAAAAAATGCTGCAAGGCCTCCGAAAAAGGTTCAAGGACCCCAAAAATCTGCAAGGTCTCATAAAAATTTGCAAAACCTTCCTAAAAATCTGCAAGGATTCATACAAATATGTTTGAAAATTTGTCACTAAAATTATAATTTTATAGTTCACTTTTAATTTGATTTTTAGGTGACAAAAATATTCACGCCTCCACCGTATTTTGTAAAACCATTTCGGCGTATTTTAACAATCCGTATTTCCTTTCAAATAAAAAGCTCATAAAATAAAAATTCGTTCGCAATATCTGGCTTCGACTATATACCGATTTTTTTTTTTTTTTCTATCCATTTTTATTCTACAAACTATTGGAAATTATTGGAAGCAATTAAAACAGAGTTATTTCACCATCGACGGATAAAAATATGACGGAGGCCATTTATGCAAATCTTTTTGCGAATATGAAGTCTGCTGTTAAAATGCAATAATTTCAATTTCATAAATGAATATTCATTTATTCAATTGCAGCAGATTTTAAATCGACATTGGTGGTGATAATATAAAATCACTTTTGAATAAGCTACATATAGACATCCGTGCAAAAACTTTAAAAAATCGGAGTCCATAAATCCATTTCCAGAGTGGACTATACAAAATCCTCATTCTCTACCTTAGATTTATGTTATGTTTTTGTCTCCACCGGTGTATTGTAAATTATTCTCGGTGTTTTTCCTCAATCAAGATATTCCGGGGGAGGATTCGAAAAACTAGAAAATCTCTTCTAAAGAAAGTCCTTCTCTTCTACGATGGCGATTTCGATGACTTTGTTTTGTGGACGACTTAGTTTGTTATCTGGATAAAAGTTCTATTTCTTTTGTACAAAGACAAAATGAGTTTGTGAAACAAACGGTGGAGATGTAGATGGTTGTGGTTCATTGTGTATTTAAATTCGTTTAGGAGAGAATTTATTCAAGAGAAGTTATAGAGGTGATGGAATTGAATTAAGATAGTTGAAAATTAAGATAGTTTTGGATTTTTTTTTAAATGAGTTGTGCGCAATTTTTTTTATTTTTAAAATCTATACGACAAAAGTCTATAAAATATCATAAAAGCTAGAGATTCTAAAAAGTTTCAGAATCATCTAAAAAGTTTCAGAAATATCAAAAAAGTTTCAGAAATATCTACAAAGTTTCAGAAATATCTATAAAGTTTCAGAAATATCTGCAAAGTTTCAGAAATATCGACAAAGTTTCAGAAATATTTTTTAAGACTATAAATATTTCTGAGTTTTTATAAATATTTCTGAGTCTTCATAAATATTTTAAAAACTCAGAAATATTTATAAAGACTCAGAAATATCTACAAAGACTCAGAAATATCTACAAAGACTCAGAAATATCTACAAAGACTCAGAAATATCTACAAAGACTCAGAAATATCTACAAAGACTCAGAAATATCTACAAAGACTCAGAAATATCTACAAAGACTCAGAAATATCTACAAAGACTCAGAAATATCTACAAAAGACTCAGAAATATCTACAAAGACTCAGAAATATCTACAAAGACTCAGAATATCTACAAAGACTCAGAAATATCTACAAAGACTCACAAATGTTTACAAAAGACTTACAAATATCTCCAAGGCCTCCCAAGTATTTTCAAAACCTTCCAAAATATATCGAGGTCTCACAAAGATCTTGGAGGCCTCACAAAAATTTTGGAGGCTCATAAAAACTTGGAGGCCTCACAAAAAATTAAAGGTCTCACAAGCATCTTCAAGGTCTCACAAGCAACTTCAAGGTCTCACAAGCAACTTCAAGGTCTCACAAGCAACTTCAAGGTCTCACAAG